GGGGGGAGGCGGTCGCCCTCCTCCCCGAGGGAAGGGATGGCCCCCCGGCCCCCTCCTACCGGCAGCCTCGTGCACTGCTCGGCCGGGATGCACCGCTCGTGCGGGATGGTCATCGCCTACATTTTATGGTCCCTCGGGCAGGCCGGGGCGATAAGGCGAGGGGCGCCGCCCGTTTCGTCGTCTTTGGCCCTGTTCTCGCGGCGGGGGAGGGGGGCTTCACCAGTTCTCCGGCAAGACCGGCCCTCAGCGCGGAAAAGGCGGTCGGGGAGGGACAGGACCCGATGGATGTGGTCGACCTCTGCGTTCGCCATGTCCAGCACCGGCGAAACATCGCGGAGCCGATCGACGCCGTTAAACAGCAGCTGAAGCGTTTTGCGGCGGACCTGCAAGGATTATAGAGGACTGTATCCCGCGAACCGCCAAGTCTACTGCCATCGGGGCGGAATATCAATCGTCGCTTTGGTGCTTCCCCAGCGGTACTATATAATTTCGAGATACATAGATTGCTGTATTTTTATTTCAAGTGAATGGGTTTGATTTTTCGGACTTTATGGAAAGTCTACCAGATGTTAAAGAAAGGATAAAGAGTGAACTAACCAACATGGATTCTTTTCGTTGTTTTGAGTCTTCAACGTGATGTATTGGGTCTAATATGCAGCTAGTGTTGTCGAATGACCTAAAATTTTTTGTCCGACTCAACAAAAGAGGTGGATGCTTTCTAATTTTCTATTCCATGAAAGTTTTTGTATGATTAAGTTCTTTATCTCTTTCTCTATATATAGATAGTTGGTTTATTTTTCCCTCTGAAGATCAGTGGGGAGTTGCGCAATGTGTATTGGTGTTTTTACTATGACTCCGTTGCTTTTATTCGAGAGCACCACTGCGTGGTGCTCTGTAGTTTTACGAGATTGCTTTTGTCTATTCGAGGGGCGGTTCTCTTTCTCTGCTATGGGTTCCCCTACCTTGCTGCTCTATTTTTTTTTTCAATGAACTGATGCTTTAATCCCCATTTAGGGTTAAAAAGAAAAAGAAAAAAAAGGTGTAAATTAACTCCGGTGAGCGAGAAAGGTGTTTAATAGGCTTTGCACTGGATTATCCTAACCCAGCCGATATTGGTGTAACCGCGTAGTCCCAACTGGTGCCGCGACGATCTCCCCTTCTGTGAAGGCTCCACGCGGCCCGATGAAAATTGAATCTCGGATGGTTAATCATCCTTGTCTTCCCATTTCCCTCTTTGTTGTGAAAGTTTCTTGTTTAGGTTGGTAGTCGTTTTACACGTCCGGAAAGACAAGTGTGGTTGGGGGAGTGTTTGTGTGGTGATCGCGTCATTCGAAGGACCACCCAGCAGGGGCCCCATTCCACAGCGGAGATGAGCAGTGCCGAGCGCAACGGCCCCGCCCGGCGGCGCGATGAGCGACTCACGGCGGATCGCTACGGCCCGAGCCGGGGGTCGCGGCATGGCGGAAAGGCCCCCCCCGCCGGCGGGGGGCGGCGGGAGGAGGAGAATCGGAGCGGGGGGCGCTACGACTGGCACCGCCACCGCCGGGGCGACCGCGAGGCCCCCGCGCGGCGGCGCCAC